AGACCTCCCTGTGCTGGGTTTTCTATTTGAAAAGTTACTATGCCGATCATATATTTTACTACCGATATAAGATTTTGTTTCGTTAAATCTGACATTTGTTATGTTATATTACAAATATACAATGAAAACAAATATTGTAATGATCTCGATATTTGGGAAGTAGATTCAAAGCCACGAGTTGGTCGCCACTTTGTAATAAAAATGAATAAGAGAAGCGATGAGATAGAGATGGTAGGAAAGGGGTTATATGTTATTTGGATTGTGTTAAATTCATTCATTACATCTTAATACTAGGCTAGTTTTTCTTAAAAATGTAACTATTTAATCTTGCCGTCGGTTCGGCGCCACAGATACGCTTCTGGTAATTATAAAGATGGACATTAATGTAAACATCGCTCCAAATGAACGATATATTAGTAAAAAGTAATAAAATAATAGTCGGTCAGAAAAGTTTTTAAAATTGATAATTATTTGTGTAAAGATTATTCTAGAAGTTTCTCCAATAATTGCGAAATTTCTATTTTGATTGATTAGAATATTGATTCGCCGAGACTGTTGTCCCTCATATGTTTCAGAGTACCTCAGCGCGCAACAAGAAATAATACTCCATTTATTGTCTCTCACTGCCTAACTAATTATGCAAAAAATGAGACACTTAGTCGTCTTATGTCTAATGCCAATGTTGACCCGAATTTTTCATTTTAATTTTTGTATTTTTCTTTATGTTTAATAATTAAATTTATTTTCATTTTGTATTTCTATCTTTGCGTTTAATAATTAATTTACATATTTTTAGTATATATCTTTCTATGTTACAATAACCTAATTTATGTACTTGTATTATTTTTAAAATGGGCTTCTACCCGTGAAATTATAAAATAAAATAAATAATATCCTGTTTTGTTTATTTTAGTTCCTAATAAGTATTGTCTCGATTCTTAGAGCCTCAAAAATATTAAACATAATCAAATTATAAATATGAGTAATTATCTCTGTAGAATACTATAGATAATTTGACAAATTTGTTGGTAGAAAACGCCTTTAGCAAAGACCTAGTGGATCAGTTATCACAAACACCTTTTATTATATTATATCGTGTCACAGCTATTCTTTAGCGTCTTTGCTTTAGTCAGCCCTTGCCCACTTAGCAAGGCAAATCGATGACCTCCGTGTCAATTGTCATCCGTGTACAGTTCATCGTCGTAAGTCAGTAAGTCAATTGTTTTATGTGTCTTCTTATTCATGTGCTATTTATGTTCGACATAAAGTGACTCGACCTAGTCAATATTAAAGTTAAAATGTATATAGAACATATATTTGCCTACAAAAAAGGTATTAACGATATTTTTCATATATCAATTATACTATGAGAAATAAAAACATGATAAATTTCATGAAAAGTTGACATAATACTTTTACACAAAATTATTATAACTGTTGCGTAAAATATTAATAAAAAAAAAATATATAACTACATATGAAAAGTACTTTTCGTAAATATAATTATAATTTATTAATACGACAATTAAACATCATTCGATTAAACAGACAAAAACAACCGATCACTCAACGTTCCGGCCCAGCACGACGGAGGATCAATCACACACTGACTTTATCTATCGATGGGCCTTATCGCCTTTATGACAATTTACAGAATACTACAGCTCGGCCATCCTGACGATTGGTCGACCTCGAACAATAATATTTAGCGTCACATAAAATTAAATAGATTACATAATTAATAAGAAATAAGTTCACATAAATTCACATATTCAATAAATAAATACATAATCAATTACCTAATAAAATTAACAGTTAAATAACATTAATTAAAATAATAATAAAATACAATAATAATATTTATTAATAATAATGATCAAATAATTAAAATAATAAACAAACTAAAATAAAATAAAATTCAATGTTATTCAATTAAATTTAAAATCAATGTTAATGGGATCGAATCCAGTATTTTATATCCCTAGCGGCAATAACGGTATTTAATAATAGGATCCGATATCTTATACCCTCAAATGACATGAATATTCTAGCCAAACTAAACAATATAAATCACATTCGAAAAACTTTGCTGAAAATAATTCAAAAATCATCCTACAACACAAATTCAAAATTTGAATAACAATAAGTTTGATAACCGCTACGAAGGACCTTATGGAGTTATCAAAGAAATAAGCTCTTTCACTTATTTCATAAAAATGAACAAAAACAATGTACTTATGAACTCACCAGTCCATGTAGATCAAAAAAACCCTATTTTCCTAGAACCGCAATTTGAATTTACCATAAAATAATAATTTTAATTTGTTATTTCTTAATATAATAGTCTACAAAATTTTACCTTATTTATACAAACATAAAAATGTACATTAATTAATAGCAATTACCCCTACTGACATACTTCGTCAAAACTCCTATTTCGCAAAATGTACAGATTTTATCTCAACAAAATATAATGGGCGTAACACGACAGACAGTTTTTACGCTCAATTGGCTTTAAACGAACTCCTACTAATTAGCGTAGAGGTAATTTTTTTAAGTCAATTTAGATTATTTTCATTAATAATTTATTTTATGATTAAGTATTGACATTAAATACACTGCGTAATATCACAAGTATTATATTTTTCTTTGGCGAAATCGTTAGTTTCTCATTCAGTAATTTAGAATTTATTTACATTTTTCTAAACGTTTTATTGACACTGTGATGTTCACTGATAACTAACCGTGAGGTTATCACCGATGAAGCACATAAACCCAAACGAAGTTGGATTCACCACTAGCCGAGGCTCTACCAAACCGGAGCATAGTGGAATTTTAAATATAATATAATTAAAATAAGGGATCAGATAGAATAATCATATTAAAATATTAAAATATATTAATGTCATTTTTAAAGAAACCTCGTGACAATGCACGAATAGGGGAAACAATGAAATGGACAAAGACAAAGAAAAAACGGGAATGCTGTACAAAGTTACCAAATTATATTATCATGATGCCCAGGCCGTAGCCAACAAATGAATCTTCACCCATGGCTCGATCGCCAGGGCCAAAAGTAAAGTTAGGCAGCCATGATATGTTCAAATATACGCAACATAAAACTAAGTAAAAAGCTGGAGACAGAAAAAACGACTGGCCAAAACACATTTGAACAAAACGGCCAGACCACTTGACGGCGACGACACACATGGACCGGAAGGGGAAACAAACGCCGACATCAGTGCATGCCTCGTTGAGAAACATCTAGGACCGGTTGAATGATTGACAGTACTGTAGTGGTCAGCTGGGCGTTTGTTATCACAATGATAATTTGTTATGAACGATTGTACAACAGATAAAATAGAAAAAAAGGAATGTGCGACTGCATTATTTAGGAAAATTTAATTATGTTATTACTGAATTATACTGTTCAAAATTAGTTTTTATTCACCACGAAATTAATACTATCTAGACAATAACACCGCATTACCAATTGCCGAGCAGTTACACTTAATTATATGATGTTCACAATAACTAATTTAATTTACTAATGTGTTAAATAGTACTATTCATGATAGGTTAACTTTTTACGTCACAACACATATGACACGGTCGCATTTCATTTCCGGCTTTACCGCTAGATGGCGACAATGACACAGCTACCTCTCTTTGTACGACAGGTCGCGCGACGCTGAGTGACCGCGGGTGACGCGAAACGGTTCGGTGATGCACAAAATAATATATTACTTTTTAACTTCCTCCTGGAAACTTATTTTGTTTTTAAGTACTCCTTACGGACTTAGTAATTTTATAATATATTATCTTTAATATCTGACAATCACGATGCTATTTGTTTAATTATTTTTTCCAAAATAAACCTATTTTAATCGTGAAAACATCACATAGAACAATATATTTAACACTTCATGTTTTCATAATATTATGGACATTCATTAAATAAATATTTGTTATCGGAGTTAAATCGTATTGGTTAACTATTCACATGTTTAATGTAATGTATGTTATTGACGTGATAGCGGTGAAAACACTTAAAGAGTATTAAGGGCCAGATAAAGAAGAAGAATAAAATGTTATTGACGTGTTCGAATCGTAAATAACCAGTTTGGACAATTGAAAAATTTTCATTCAACTATCCGGTCTTAAGCTTTTTGGTGTTTATTACTCTATGAATTACTCTATAAATATATTTTTTATTTTTTAAAGGCCTTTTCTTGTATGAAAATGTTATTATTATGTTGTAATTAAAATATATAACAGTTTTATGCTGTCTAATTATTACTTTTTACATTAATATCAGTATTATTTGAAGGAAAGTAAATTTTATTACAATATAAAATGTCTAAGATTTAAAAATGCGTATGGATGTATGCATAATGGATTAATCTTTAGGATTAATTAGCTTATTTACATTTATATTTCAATTTACAGAGTGTATATTACATAGCTTCACAAAAAAAATCGAAAGAAAATAGCTAATAAACAGATCATGTTTACTTTATGTTTTTGGTGTCGCTGAATTTGAATCTGAGGTTCGTTTGACGCCATCACGTCAGAGTTTTTCATAACCTCAAAAAATGGGCTCAAGAATGAAGCTATTCATTAAGAAGCAAACAGTCTAATTTGACCTAAATCTAATGTACGCAGAGACCTAATGTGTTAAAAACTAGATAAACATTTGTAGCTAATTTAGGTGTTATTTACTTTTCTTAAACTTAATAGTTAGAATTTTAAATTGCTTTGAAAATTAATTTTTGAAGGAGAGTTGTTTTTTTGAAGGGTTCCAGTCATACAAACAATAGCTAGAAACTGGCTATTGAATTTGATACATCATAAATAAATGTATTAAATTTTTTCAACTTTTTAACTCTAGGAGATTTTAAGGAAACAAAAGTTTTTAATTTAAGATGTCAACACGTGAGATTTTGAATGGTCATATATTTAAATATTTTTAATATTATAGTTTTAAATTTATTTTTAATTTTAAATAATATTAGACGCAAGTGATAAATTTTTATTATATGATACATGTTTTCACTAAACATTATATCAAATATAAATTGATGAAAATCAATATAAACATTTTTGAATAAATATTTTATGAAAAAAATAATTTTAATGGAGTGTTACTATATTTTTATAAACTAAGAATAGAAATTAATTTGTGTATTTTTTTTTCCATTTTTGTGTCTCTTGATCATAAGTCAAAACGAAAGATTTATCTCCTGTATAATCATCGCCAAATCCTGCTATCATTTCTGAAACGAATAAAATAATAATATTGTTATCAATACACGAGTATTATTAATCGCCAAGCATAAAGTTTAAAGACTCCCATTGGTAATCTTAATTGTTAGAACAATGTTTTTGATATTTTTGAATTGCAACATATATCAAGTACCCTATTAAAAAACATTTGTATTCTTAAATTAATTTTTTACTCTAAAAATGCTAAATTCGGTAAATTATCCTGATCAAGGTGTATGTTGACATTTTATAATAGTAAGCTGACAAATAAATAAAAAACGTATTTTTTTTTTTTAATTTTTGTCTTAATAAGTAAAGTATAAGTAATAAAATATGTTAAGTAAAAATATATATTTTATTAGTTTGTAGGAACAGTTTATTATTTATGAAAATTGAATTATCACAATATAAAAAAAACTTTATTTCAATTGGTGTAAGACTACCCTTAAGATATTAAATCAAATTAAAAATGAAAACATAAAAATAAAGCAATAATGTCAATATTTTAGGAATAATTAATAACATGCAATATTTATTATTGCACTATTAAAAAAATATGTAATAAAATTTTTTTTAACGATAGTCACACAAATTTTTTTTAAATAATAATTATGTTAAAAAAATTATTTTTAGTATTATTTTTTAGTAAATTAATAAGTATCCGTAACGCCATGCTAAATTTTTATTCGTTAGTCAGATATTTATCACAACATATTAACAAAGTATTAAGCTTCGTCAATTTACTCCTGACTTGCCAACTTACCCAGGTCATCCCTACATGCTTAAGTACATACGCATGGTTAGTAAAGTATACAGAGTTTAATTAATATATAATAACAATGGTTCATATTTGTTATATTCTTAAGGAAAAATTATTAAGTATTTAGTAATACGATGTTAAAATATGATCATCAAAAAAACGGATTAGTATACTTAAAGATTTTTACATTATTCAAATAGTGTTAAATGTTACAATACATACACCACTCATTATTCGGTAATCTATAAATCATTTTCCATTAGTCATAAAATTAAATGTATATTATACATGTCAATCTATTAAACTATTCTGAGAAAAATGTATTGTAAGTGTATATGTATATAAAAATCTAATGTAAGGAATTCTTTAATTGTGACAAATCATATATTTTAAGTAAAATAATATGTAATAACTAACACATTCGAGTAATAAAGAGATAATAGTAAAAATTCGTGACACTTCTTGCATATATAGATAAATTTAATTTAATATAAAAGTGCACAAAAACTGTCACTTGGTCTCACTTTTTCTTCACTTTATGATCTTTCAACAAGTGCAAAAAGGGGCCTTACATACATTATAAACTCACAGAAAAAGTGTATATATACTTATTATCAACCTTGATTCAACATCACAAAGGTAAACTAATATTTCTCAGAATATTTATAAGGTTTAGAGTTAAGTATATGAGTAATGAGTATAAAGATAAGTATATTTAAGTGATTTTCGACAACTGACATAATTTGTGTGATATAAATGCATCAGACAATTTTTGAACACGTTTAATCATATTTTACCTATTTATTGTTGTATATTAAATGATACGTTTTAATCACAAAGGTGAAATACTTTTAGACGTCTTTTAAAGTATTACGAAGTTATATTTATCTAATTGGTAATTATTCCCACGATATTACTGGTAGTAAGTTACCATCAAATTTACTAGTGTTTTACAAATTTACAAATTTACATCTTTTTGAATTACTATATAAAAATTAAAGTTAACATAATAACTAGAAATCCTTAATTAATTAAAGATTAATTAATTTTAATTATAAATTATTATTTAAAATTAAAAATATTATGGATCAATTCTTAATATATATATAAATTATTAATTTTCAGGAAAAAAATTATTTAAAACAATAATCAAACAGCTTAGAATAAACATAGATCGGAATTGTTAAAAAATTTCATAAATATTTTTATAAATTAAAAAAAAAAGTTATGATGATTACCTTTGTAATTACATTGATTTTGATCATTTGTATACTTTTTGATTATGTCATTAATGCGATCTGTAAACAATGGGCTATTGAAAAAAATTGTAGCTGCTTCTTCTTTAGAGACAGTGCTATTCTTAATTACATATTCTACAAAGGCTGATACAATATAATTTTGGTCTCTTTCTGAATTTTTAGACAATTTTAGAAAAGTTGACAACATTTCATAATCTAAGGAAATACCAACAATTTCTGTTATATAAAGAAACACTATTTCGCATCTTTTAAATAATTATAAAAAAAAAAAATCAACATATCATTTTTAAATCATTCTTTTAAAATAGGACTTATTACCAATTTTTTCATACATAACTTGATATTATGTTAAATAAAAATAAATAATTTTTTTATTGCATATTATTATGCTAAAAACATTTTTTATAGAAAAATAAAAATTTTATTTTTGGAATTTATTTAAATATCTGTTAAATATATTAAATTATATTGACTCAAAAGATGTTAGAGATTTATAATAATAAAGTATATACTTTCATAAGTTATACGCTGCATAACTCAATAATACTACATATCGGATAGAAATAAAAAAACAATTGCAATATTAAACGCTGAAAGGTTTTACATTAAGTTTTTACAAAAGTGACACTGTTGGTTATTATTTAAAATTATTTAACTCTTTATAGTTTTGTGTAAAAATAAATTAATTTGAGTAAATATTTAATGAAATATGGAGAGTTATAATGTTCTACATAAATAAGCAAATATATAAAGATTAGTTGTTTTCTAAACAGAACTTTTGTATTGTAGTAATTAGACGAGGAAGTATTGAATTACGTCGATTTTAGTATAATATAAGCTTTACAATAGTAGTAAGCAATTTTTGAACTCTTAAGCAATATAATAATTCCATATAAAAGGGAAATGCAGGGTAAGCAAATTAATAATGGAGGGAAAAAGAATATAAAAGGGAAACATGAAAAGTATAGGGGGTCGACACGGGACGATACTGAGCGAGACGAGACTGGACGATTTTGTCGAAGAAACGTCGAGTTACGGGTTAGGTCGTTGACGTAAGAATAACTTTATAGTCTTTTTTATAAGATTTAATTAATTTTGTTTTAAATTATTATATTATATTTTATTTGACTTTTGTGTTTGATACATTTCGTAAATAAAAAAAAACTATTTAAAAATCTGGACTTAGCGCAAATATTTAATATTCACGGTGATCTCGAAATTGTGTGTGTTTGTGTGCGGCTAGAGTCTAGGTTGGACTGCTGGACCTTTAGTCAGTCTTAATAATTAGTGTACGAGCTGGCTAGTGTTTGGGCTTAACCGTCCTTTAGTGGGTATAGTAAAAAGGTAGTTGTGCTGGTGGCTGACAAGGAGCCACCCTTCAGTCTGCTACTTTTGAGCTAGACCGTGCTGACGGNTGAGCTAGACTGTGCTGACGGGTCTAAACTCTACCCCTTTAGTAGTCCACTAATTAGAGAGATTGGGGCTGATCAGTTTATCCAANGGCCACTTATTAGAGAGATTGGGGCTGATCAGTTTATCCAACGGGAAGACTCGAGAAGAGCTCGAACGACGAACTCGTCGTCAATATATATATATATAAAACATTAATAAACTTGTGTTAAACCTTTGTGTCTACGTTGGGGCACTACCGACGTACGACAGTATTCAAAAATAATTTAAGAATCAATCATAATTTATAAAAAAAAAATTTACAGTGTAATTATAATTATACTGTATATTTTAGCTTCGATGCGAAGCTGAGAAGGTATTGGTTTTACTATGATGTGTTTTTTTTTTTTTTTTTTTTTTTTTTT